AGCCTCGCGCCCACCCTGCGGCTGGCCCGCGGGGGCCGCAGCCCCCGCCGCCGCAGCCATAGCCGAGGGCGCACTTGCCATGGGGCCCTTGCGACCAGGGCGGCGGCCGCGGTTAGTGAGAGGGAGGGGCGCCAATGAACCGGATACCTCCTAGGCGCGGCAATAGCGGGCAATGGGCGCGGCACCGGGAAGCACGAGAGAGAAAAACAAGTACCGCAGGTGCCGCGGACACCGCGCATGAGGGAGACCCGCAGAATGGCCGAGCAGGGGTAGCTTGGCGGAGGTCGCAGAAAAGGCGGGCTCGTTGTGGACTTGTTGCATACTTTTGCGGCGGGGCCGCCGCGAGACGAAGGGCGACGAGAGTAGCTGCCGCGCGCCGTGCACGTGCCCGAGGCGCACGAACAATTTGACGAGTAGAAGCACGGCTGCAGAACGTGGGCCGCGCGCGGCGGCAGAAGCGGCCGGCGCAAGGGAAGCGGCGGATTGAAGAGACGCTGTCGACAGGAAGGGGCCAGGCTGAGGAAGGGGATGAAAGAACGGCGTCACCATCGCGTCCATAACGATTGCAAAGGCCTGGCGAGAACAAACCGCCCCGCCCACAATGGATGGAAGCAGAATTGCCCGTCCGAGGCCCCGGGGGGGCCGCGATATCAGAGGAGCTGTGACCGAGAGTGCGCGGCGTGTTCTGCGGAAGGTGAAAGAAACAAGTGGCGCTGAGGAGAAAGGAAAAGCGAATGAGGTTTGACTCGCCGCATGCAAATATTATAGCGAAGCGCCCCCGGCGCCTCCCTGAAAATCATGCACCGCGCAGGCGCATCACCACGGCGACACTAGGAACGGCCCCCCCTGGAGAAACTCGAGTAGGCCGTCGCGGCACTGGGCAACGCTGCCCAGGAGCTCATGCAGGACATCGTCGAAGTCCTAGCGGGAAGGAAAGGCGACCCCCCCCCTTGCGTGGCAAGGATGCGTCAAAGCAAGGCGCTAGAGGGTAGAACATGCGGAAGCAAGATAGCGCTCATCCCCCGAATCGGCGACGTTCGGCGAGGACCGGCGCAGCAGAAAGACAGCAACGGCAAAACAGATGAAAGCAGAAGCATGGCGAATATCAAAGAGACCGAACTACGCCGATCTGGACGAAGAACGGCCCCATGGCCGGAGAGTTCCCGCGCGGTCCTGCGGGGCCCACCCCCAATGAACCTGCAAGAAGCAGGAGAGAACTGCCACAGGAACTTCTGGTTGTCCGGGGCGTCGGAGCGCCCGCCACATGCACGCCACCCCCTCCCCCGACGCCTCGAGGAACTCCAGCTCGGGGATGAAGAACGGCGCCTGCAAGGTTGAATCCGGAGGGCAAATCGGCAGGAAGACAAGGGGGAACGGCGTCGAAGTAATGGGCCGCCGCGTGAGCAATGAATTTGCACGGGAACAAGCCACGATGGAAACAGCAAACAGAGCGAGAGAAAGATAAGGGACATAGAAGCCACGGTTGCCCGCGAGGCAGGAGAGCTGAAGGAGTGCTGGGCACCTGCTTCAGGATGACGTAGTCCCCCACCCAGGCGAGGCGCCCAGAGGAAGTCAAAGAGTCCCTGGCGAGCTCAGCGTGCTCCCTTGAAAGGCGCAGGGCGGCAGCCACGGCACGCAAGGATCCCCAAGCACAGCGGGTGCCCGCGGTCATGGAGGCCAGGCTGGCGACGATGTCCACGGAGGTAGCCTGGATGGACTCCGCGGCGCCTGATCGGCAGCGGGCGTTGACTAGACGACGGAAATCACGATGAGGGGAACAGAGGAGGCAGCGGACCGAGGAAAGGCATGGAATGAAACAGCGAGACAACAGAGTCGCGATGCCCGCGGGCCGGGTGCAAGGGAGAGCGGGAGAACTCGAACGAAATCACGTGAATGCGCGCGCGCGCTCGCGACGGCAACTGCGCGACCAGGTAACTATGCACATGAAACGATGCAACAAGACAGGGTAGCACACGCAGACGGCCTGGACGCACGCCCACGTCCGCAGGGTGGGCGCCCCCGGGCCGCCCGGAATCAGGAACCGCATCTGGAAGATCTGGAGAAAAGCCTGGCACTGAATGGGGGGGCCGCCCCGTCCCCGGGAGCGGCGTGGACAGCATCTGTGGCGAATCCACGGCCGAGCCGGCGCGCGGTGCGCACCTCTGAGCCCCCCGCTGCGGGCTTGCGACGGAAGCCGCGGCGACCGCCGAAGCCAGGCGCGACGCTGCCACGACCGGCACATCAGGGCAACGAGACGCTCGAGAGGCACTTGCCGGGCCACGCTCGCGGCCCGAGGCCCCGTCGATCCATGACATCAGACTTGCGTGGAGCACCACCTCCTCATGCACTTTGAGGAAGTAGGACCCCTGGCGCTGCTCCTGCTCCCGCTTGTAAGCGAGTTGTGCGGCTGCAATGTCCCGTTCCCATCGTTGAGCTAGCGGATGCTCCCCCAGACGACGAAGCTCTTCCATCTCTGCTCGCGCCCTGCGGAGGCAGTCAGAAGAAGGGACCCTTCCCCAATGTTTGGAATGCGCAGGGCCGAGGCGGGGGTCACAGAAGGGGGGTGCGACGTGCGAGATACAGGCGCAGAGCTGGAAGATGGAAGACACGATGCGACACGAACCTGCCAAGCAAAGGAGCATGCAGGAACGAGGCATGGCATCCGGCATTGCCCCAGGAGGATACAAGAGCCCAAACGGGGACAGAGCTAGGCAGTGACCCGGCGGGGTGGGGCGAGCGTGGACAGTAGGGGCGACGAGTTCAGACCCCTGTGCCTGCGCATGAGCGCGTCCCAAGCCATCCTGCGCAACATGCGCGGCGAGTACGTCTTCGCGCCCGCTGGCAGTATCCTCAAGCACTCCTCTTCAGCTCTACGCCTCGGTTCCCGGGGTGGAAGGCGTAAGTAAGGGCCTCGGTCCCCCAGGGCCTGAAGCTCCACTGGAGGCGGTAGCCGAGCTATGTGCGCAAAAGTGAAGGCGTTGAGGTCGAACTGCCGAAGAGGGGGCGCTGCGCCCGCCTGGGAGAACATATTTGCATCGGAGAGGTGCCCACGCGCAAAGGCAAAAACCAAAAAAAAGAGGCAGCGCGCTAGCCCGCCCGAGCAGGAAGCCCGCGGCGTGGCACTCAGGATCGAAGGGCCGCCCAGGGGCAGTCCGGAACCCCGAGGGCGGGAAAAGGCATGCAGCGAGCAAGGGAAAGAGGTGAGCAAGAAAAAACGGAGGCGCCCCTCCCCGATGAAACGGGCATCCTGTGGCAGAGCCGCGCCGGCGCCCGCGAGCTCCGCCATGGGCGCCGCGCGCCCCCCGGCCAGCGGAGGCATGCGCGGCGGCTAGAAGGATGGCGCGGGAGAGTGAACAAGGCGCGAGAGAGCAGGGGAAGAGGAGGATGACAGGAGGAAGCGAAGGTAGAGAAGGAGGAGCAGGGGAAGGGGGCCGCCAGTGAGGCAGCACTGAGCGCGTCTGCCGCCCTTTCCCACGGTTCTCACGCAGGAGCTTCAGCCGTGAGCCCGTGCAGAAGACCGTCGGCGAGAGCACCGCGGAAGAGGAGTAAGAAAATTAGAGGTGTAAGAGGAGGGGGGGGAGAATGCGGAGCAGGAGTTACATTAGGAATACCCTCGTCGAGGGCAGACGTTACATGCTTTACACTTGGAAGCCCACGTCTAGTCCCACCAGCTTTCTGGGCGAAAGTGGTTCAACGCGGTTCCTCTTCCACCCGTTCCCTCTTCCGCGCCGGGGGGGTAGGTGGTCCACCCCTCCCCCATTACCCCCTCCCCTGGAGCTGGACGGGGCGCCCCGCGATCGATGGGCGCGCCCAAGACGGCCCATGATGGCTCGAAGAGGGCCTCGGGGAGGCTGAAGACGACCTCCCAAATGGCTGGGAATGGCCAGATATGACCGCAAACATACTGGAAGGTACCCCCCGACCGCCCCAAGGCGGGCCCCCGTGGCCACGGAGCCTCCCAAGGGGGCCCCAGGAAGCCCCAATCTTTGAAACACGTACAAGGAAATCAAATTTGTGTTGTCTTGCCTTCCGCCTGATTAGTTTCGATGCCCGACCGGGAGCGATTGATTGCTCCAGGAGGGCCCAATGTAGCCCCAAGAGAAGCCAGAGAGAGGCCCGAGACGGCTCCAATAGTACTGAAGGGCGCCCCCAATGGCGCTCCAATAGGGGCCGATTGGCGAATTTGGGAGCTCCCGAGGGAGAGGGGGGGAAGCTCAAGGCCCCAGTCTTTCTTGGGTCGATCTCCTCCAATGTGATCCCGAGGGGCGCCCCCAAGGCCCCCGAGAGCGAGGGAAGAGGGCCCCGACAGTCAGAAGAGAAGTAGGAGAGGGAGGAGAAGAATGTCGTCAACGACAGATGTCGAGTTGACAGAGCAGCGAGAGAGCACTTGCTTCGGAACCTCCTCCCGGCCCCTCCTACCTGAATCCTTCAGACCCCCCCGTCTCTTCCTCCTGTTCCTTCCCCCCCCCATTGAATCTGGAGGATCCCCCCGAAATCCCACCTCCTCCTTGCCGCTCTCTCTGAATCCTAAACCTCCTGCTCATCCCCATCATCCCTCCATCTGAAGGTCCCCGACAGACCCCTCTTGAAGCAACCCGGCCGAGTGCGATCTGGGCCGGGCCCGGTCTGGCCGAGTCCGGCCTGGCCGAGTTAGGCCGCGGCCGAGTTCGGCCGGCCGAGTCCGGCCCGGCCGAGTCCGGGCCCGACCGAGTCCGGCCTGGCCGAGTCCGGACCGCGCGCCACGCTGCAGCGAGAGCGCCGGCCGAGTTCGGCCGGGCCGAGTTCGGACTGGCCGAGTCCGGCCGGCCGAGTCCGGCCCGGCCGAGTCCGGACCCGGCCGAGTCCGGCCTCGGCCGAGTCCAGCCTGGCCGAGTTCAGCCTGGCCGAGTGCAGCCTGGCCGAGTTCAGTCTGGCCGAGTCCGGCCGGCCGAGTCCGGCCTGGCCGAGTCGCGCCTCCTCCCTCGGAGCCCGTCGTCTACGTGACCTCGGCTGTCATCGCCATGGGCTGGTCGCTCGCGGTGCCCGTTTTCCAGCGCATCCACCGACGACTGCGCCGCCTGGCGCCGCCCCTCGGGGCGGGGCTTCCCTCAGACGGGGAGTGGCGCAAGGATTGCGCGCGGCCCCTGGTCGAGGCAGGCAGCGGCCAGGACGCTGGCTGGTGGCAGGTCTACATCGACGACTTCGATGCGCCGGAGATCGTCGAGGAGGTTCTGGCAGATTCTGGCCCGCAAGCTCGTGGGGACCCCGAGCGACCTCCAACTGCAGGTCCGCGCCAGCTACGAGAGGGCAAGCGTCTCCTTCTCGGCCGAGAAGGCGCACTGCAGGCAGCTGAGGGTCGAGCGCATGGGCGCGGACGTCGACGGCGTCAGCGGGCGCCTCGCGGTCCCCGCTGCCAAGGCGCTGGCCACTGCGGGCCTCTGCTTGGCCGCGGTGCAGCGGCGCCTGGTCCCGTGGCGCGTGGCCATGGCGGCCCTCGGCAAGCTCGTGAGGGCCTTCGAGTTCAGGCGGCCGCTTTTCGGGGTCCTGAACTCCGTCTGGACGTTGGCTGCGTCCTCAGCGCAGGGGGCTTACCTGGACGCAGAGATGGTGGAAGAGCTCCTCATGGGCGTGATGGTCCTGCCGCTGGCCGCCTCCTCGCTGCGGGCGCGCATCGACGGCGTGGTCACGTCCTCGGACGCGTCGGAGATGGGCGGCGGCGTGTGCACGTCAGCTGGCCTGCGCGAGGATGTCGCCGCCGCCTTGCAGGTGCCGAGGACGGTCCCCGACCAGCTGGGGATAGGGGCCAGGCTCCTCAACATGCCCGAGGACCCCGCCCGACCGTGGGCGGCAGCCAACCCACGCGTCCCCGCCAGGGCAGTCCGCAGGGTGCTGTCGGTGCTGCTCATCGGCCTGTTCGACGGCATCGGAGGCCTCGCCGTCGCCTTCTCGAGGCTGCCCGTCCGCATCGCGGCCTTCGTCGCGGCCGAGACGGACGCCAAGGCGAGGCGCGTTGTCAGACTCCGCTGGCCAGGTGTCATCGACTGGGGCGACGTCGCCCGTGTGGGCAGCGAGACGGTGCGGGATTTGTTCGAGGCGTTCGGCGGCCTCGTCGACCTGGTGGTGGTCGCAGCGGGCAGCCCCTGCCAGGACCTGTCACGCCTCAACGTCGGCGGGCGCGGCCTCAGCGGCAGGAAGTCCTCGCTGTTCCACGAGGTGCCACGCATCCTGGCTCTCCTCGCCGCCGTCTTCAAGGACAGGCTCGTTTGGTTCGTGGAGAACGTGGCCAGCATGTCCGACGCCAACGTGGAGCTGATCTCGGAGGCGCTGCAGGTGAGGCCGACGCTGGTGTGCTCGTCGGTGTTCGTGCCGTGTCGCAGGCCGCGCCTGTTCTGGACGAGCTGGGGCGTCACCGCATCGGCGCCTCTTCGGCTGACCGACCGCGGGGTCTACGACGAGCTGGTGGGCCCTGGCGTCCCGCTCATGGACCTCGCGTGGGAGGACGAGGGCTGCTCTTGGCCAGGGAGACCAAGGTGCTTCCCCACGCTCGTCTGCTGCAGGCCTCAGCCCTCCTTCCCCTTTGCCCCGCGTGGCTTCGCGGCTGCATCGGAGACGGCTCGTCAAAGGTGGGCTGCGGACGGGCACAGGTATCATGTGGCTTTGTACGAGGACAACAACATGATCTGCATCTCCTCGTTCCCTTTCCTGCTCCTCCCCACCAGCGAGGAGAGGGAGCGGCTCCTTGGCTTTGATGTGGGGTACACCTCCCTAGCCACCAAGGGCTCGAACCCTCGGGGCGCCTCCGACGCCAGGGCCTTCCTCCTCGGCAACAGCTTCAGTATTCACGTCGTGGCATGGTTGTGCCACCAGCTCCTGCACCGCCGCGGCGCGCTGAACAGGGAGCTGTCGATAGAGGAGGTGTCCCCCGTCCGCGTGTGCCGGGCGACGTGGGACCAGGCGGGGGCCTTCGTCACGGAGCCAGGAGAACGGGACACCGCGGAGGCGAGGCAGCTGGTCCTGCACTACCTCAGCCGCGCGGAGAAGGGCGGGTCGGACGTCAGGCTGGACTACGGCGTCCCCTACCGCCCGAGAGGTTGGCCGAGGACGAGCCTGGACCCGTTCGTGTGGAAGTGGCGCGTGGTGGTCAGCATGGCGTGGCCTGGCCGGAACTCCACCCACATAAACGTGAGAGAGTTGCAGGCGGCCACGGCGGCGATCAGGTGGCGCGCCCGCAAGGTCGCGCAGCGCGGGGCAGGTTCTTGCACCTCGTCGACAGCCAGGTGGTCGCGGCCATCGTGACGAAGGGCCGCAGCAGCAGCAGGAAGCTACAGCCCATCCTGAGGCGCTGGATGGCCGTCGTCGTGGCGGCCGACATGTACCCACTGATCGGCTACGTGGTCTCAGAGGACAACCCTGCGGACGAGCCGTCGAGGGGGCTGCTGTGGCGTGGCTCGAAGCCCAGGAGGCGAGGGCGACCCGTGCCGCGCGCGCGGCCGCTCACCGCAGGCCCGCGCCCGTGAGACGCCGCGGGACGCGCTGCCAGACTCTCTCTTCCCTGAGGGTGTCAGCGGAGACGCGGCGGCGCTACGGGCGGGCCCTGCGCGCGCTGCTGGCCCACTTTGGGGCCGAGCAGGCGGGGGCGGACGCCTTGCGCGGCGACCCCGAGGACGCAGACGCCCTCGTCGCGGAGTACCTCGAAGGCCTGTGGGCCTCTGGTGCGGGCATCGCGGCCGCCAACAACACGCTGGCGGGGGTGTGCTTCGCGGCGCCTCGTCTGAGGCGACACCTCGACCTGAGCTGGACTCTCCTCAAGGCATGGAGGCATCATGAGCCAGCGTCCAGGGTGCTGCCGCTCACGACCGAGGCCGTCGCGGCCATGGCAGGGTTCGCGTGCGCTGCAGGTGCTTTCGACGTGGCCGCCCTCCTTCTCGTCGGCTTCGAGGGCATGCTCCGAGGCGCGGAGGTGTTTGCCCTGGCGGTGGGCGACATCGTCGACCGCGGCGAGCTGTTCATAGTCCGCATCAGCTCGTCCAAGACCACGGCGGGCAAGGACTGCGCGGAGGCAGTCGTCGTCCGCAGCAGGATGGCCGCGGCGCTCCTGCGGATTGCGGTCCGCGGCCTGGGTGCAGGCGCGCGGCTCTCATGGAGGACGCCGTCCCAGCTGCGTGGTGCCCTCCGCGCCTTGGCGAGGGGCCTGGGCCTGGCGGGGCCCATCACGTGGCACAGCCTGCGACGTGGCGGGGCGAGCGCCTTCTTCGTCAGGAGCGGCTCCATGGAGGCGACCCTCGTGGCGGGTCGGTGGGCCTCCTCCGCCACCGCACGCCTGTACATCGAGGGCGCGGTGGCCGACTCAGTGCGCGCCCGGCCCGGGAGCGAGGCAGCCCGCGCCCTTGCGCGGGGACTGCGGCTCCTGCAGCTGGCCACTGTAAAAGGCCACTGCTCGCGCCCAACAGTGCTTGCCGAAAATCGGGCGTTTGTCTTCGCTTCGGCGAAGGCAACCGCCCTCCCGCCGTGGGGCCGCGTGGCCCTCTCTCTCTCTATGGGTCTGGTTTCCGGGGTCCCCTGGGTCCGCCCGTTGTGTGGGGCGTTCTCTGTTTGGGGTCCACGCCCGTCTCGCCTTCTCCGTGCATCGTTTCACCTCCTCCCGTCGCCTCCCCCCGTCACCTCCTCCTCGTGTGGAGTGTAAGGGCTGGAGAAGGGCGTGGAGTAGGGGGGTGTGCTGGGGGGGCCAAACCAAGGGGCTGCGGAGGGATGTCTGGCACGCGTGGGGCCGCCCTGTGCGGTGCCTGCCCCACGTCAGGCCTGTGGCCTGGCGCGGGTTGCGTGTCCAGACCCCCCCTCGCAGTCCTGTGGCTTGCCCCCCCGCACACCCCCGAATTAAGGACCGGCATAAATATGCCATTTGCATGGGGGTGGGTGGGAGTTAAACACGGACGGCCTACG